GCCTTCATCGATGTGTACTTGCTAGGCTTGGCCTGCACGACACCAACTTCGACCCGAACGGGGCCGCCGACGACCAGATCGACCACGTGCTCACTCGCCTCGCCGTGGCCTACAAGTTCTACCACTCGATCAAGGTCGACGGCAGTGTCGACAACTCGTACCACATCCACAAGAACTACATGCAGGCCTCCCGCCTCGCGCTGATGCTGGGCCCGAGCGCGCACGGCGGTGCCCGCTAACCATCGATCGACGCGCCTCTCCCAGGGGTTCGTTCGCTCCTCATCATCATCATCATCATCATCAACCCTTCCTTCTCCTCCTCCTCCTCTCCTCCTCATCCTCATCATCATCATTAGCATCATCATCACCACCATCACCATCATCATCATCATCAACAACATCATCCCTTCCTCCTCCTCTTCCTCCTCCTCCTCCTCCATCCTCCTCCTCCATCCTCCTCTTTTTCCTCCCCCTCCTCTTCCTCCTCCTCCTCCTCTCCTCTCCCTCTCCTCCTCCTCCTCCTCCTCCTCCTCCTCCCCTCCTCTCCTCCTCCTCCCCCAGGGGTGAAGGTTCGGGGGGGGTGAAGCCCACCAGGAGCTGAGTCAGACTCTGGAGCCACCGAACGTGGCTGAGATCATCGACTGCCTGGCTTTTTTCCCGTCCCCGACTTCCTCCGCTTCCTCGTCGTCCTCCTCCTCCTCTCCTTCCTCCCCCTCCTCCTTCTCCTCCTCGTCCCTTCCTCCTCCTCCTCCTCCTCCTCTCCTCCTCCTCCTCCTCTCCTCCTCCTCCTCCTCTCCTCTCCCCGCCGTGCGGCGGCTGGCCCGCCGAGCTCTGCGCCCCCCCCCCCCTTCGGCGCGCCAGGGCGCGCGAAGGGCGCGCACTTGCCGGCCCCTGGGGCGGCGGGTGGCGCGCTTCGCCGCCCCGTGGGCCGCAGAGCCCTCTCCCCGGCGCCGGCTTCTGCATCCCGAGTGTATACCTTGTGCCAGCAGCGGCAGGGCGCGCACTTGCCGGCCCCCCCGGGGCGGCGGGCGGCGTCGTCGCCTCGTGGGCTGCTGCATCCCGAGTCGTTTGTTCGACGGAGGAGGAGGAGGAGGAGGAGGAGGAGGAGGAGGAGGGGAGGAGGGAGGGAGGGAGGGAGGGAGGGAGGGGGAGGGAGGGAGGGAGGGAGGGGGGGGGCGGGCGGGCGGCGGCGCCTCTCGCCGCCTCGCGGGCCAGGGGCCCTCTGCCCAGCGCCGGCGGGTTGTGCACCTCGAGGCGGCGGCTGTCGGGATCCCGAGGGCCGGCGGGGGCCACCGGAGCCCGAGGATCAGGAGGAGAAAAAACACACAGACACAATTAATCGTCGAGACCCAGGAAGATATACAAAAAATATGGGAAGTGGGGGGGGAGACGAAAACCCAGAAAATATGCGAAAATATGGGGAATCCTTTTATTTGTGTGTATTTATTTGTGTGTCCTGGGGTTCCTTCAGAGGATGGCGAGGAGCCTCCCTTCGTGCAGGGAGGGTTCTGGGACGGAGCCGAACGAAGCGGGCCGAAGCGAAGCGGGCCGAACCGAACGGGCAGGGACCGCTCCAGCGACGGTTCTGCACCCACAGCAGCTCTGGTCGGCGGCGAGCGCGGGGGGGAGTGAGAAGGAGGAGGCCCTCTCAGGTGAAGGCGGGGCTTCTCGGAAGCTCTCCAGCCTTCTGAGAAGTGTTCGGCGTTTTCGGGGAAGGCTCAGGAAACTGCTCAGACGGCTCGGGGCCTTCCGAGCCTTTTGAGAAGGCCCGCCCTTTCTCACTTCCCCCGGGCGTGCCCCCGCGATTAGTTACGGTCGAGCATCTTACAACAAAAAACTCCTCCCGAAAAGTTGGGCCAGCGTTTCTTAGCCAACTTGCTGGAATGCCGGCCCACCTTCTTGAGCGCGCGTTCGCCCCTCCAGCGTGAACGCGACACTGCGGCCCACAGGCTTGTCTCAGGAAGCGTCGGGGAAGCTGGCCCAAATGTCCTGCAAGCTTTCAGTTTCTGGATCTTCTGCTCGGCTGTACTCCAGATTTCGTAATAAAGGGAGGGGGGTCTCATTTCGGGGGGGGGTCTCTTCCAGGCTATCTTGGAGGGCCTGGGGGGTCTGGGGACGATGTGTTGGAGGGTTCTCCCACGGGGGAGGTCTGAAATGGCTTGTCTTCGAGGGTCTAGACCCCCCCCCTTTTATTACGAAATCTGGAGTAGTTGTGGACGGTTGCCGAAGCATGCGGACAACAATTCCGTGCCGATATCTGCTCAGTGCGTGGGGGGTCTGGGGCGGCGAGCGCCGACATAGCGCGGAGGCGGCGGGCGGGCGGCGGGCTCGGGGGTGCCGAGGGCCCGTCTTCTCGTGCTCCGCGATCGCGGCCCCCCATGGGGTCGCGACGTGCCCAAAATCAGGAGGGAAAGAAACACACAGACGCAATTAATCCTCGATTCCCCAGAAAATATGGGAAAATATGGGAAGTGGGGGGGAAGACAGAAACACAGGAAATATAGGAATATATGGGGAATGTCTTTATTTGTGTGCATTCATTTGTGTGTCCCAGGGCCCCTTCACAAAAGCCCCCTCGCGCTGTGGAACAAAGATCACGACGGGAGGTGTTTTGCTATGTTCGGCCTCCGGGGGGGCCCTTCCCTTGCCGGGCCTCGTGGCCGTAAACATGGCTCGGGATGAAAAGCCCGTCCCGGGAGATGTGTCGAGACCTCTGGGGGTCGACGTTGTGAAGAAATCATGACGTCGGGGGTCGTGATAAATTTGCTCGCGACCCCCAGCAGCCTGGGGTTCGGCGTCAAGTTTCGAAACCAGTCCAGCTCGGGGGGGGGGGAAAGACCGGTTCGGTTCGGTTCGGCTCGTGCTGGAAAAAGCGCCGGTTCACGCCAGTTCGGTTTGTCCCGGTTCGGTTCAAAAGTGCTGGTTCACGCCGGTTCGGTTCGGCCCGCTTCGAATTCGGCCGGTTCGGTTCGGTTCCAGAACCCTTGTTTGACTGACAGGAGGTTTCTCGCTAGCTTCGGGCTCTTGTGGCCCCTACCGGCCCTCGGGGCCCTCAAAAGACGGCTCGGGATGCAAAACCGGTCCCGGGGAAGGGACGTCGAGACCTCCGGGAGTCCACGTCATGAACAAAATCGCGGCGTCGGGGGACTGGGGACGGAGAACGCCGGGGTACGAACAGGTAGCGATGCCGATGCCGCTACCTGTGGCCTCATTTCCGCCGTCTTTGGCCTCCTGGGGGGCCCTCGTCGCCACGGCTGGATTTGCTTCGAAGTTGTGGTCGGATCGCACGCCATGCGAGAGGCCCGGTGAGTAGCGCTCTCGGTCGGTATACTCTCGGCTCTCCCAGGGCGATAGGGGGTACCGTGAGAGGGGGCCTCCAGGGACGTCGGGGACGCCTGTCTCCTTCTTCCCCATACTCCCCCCTTCCCCTCGGCCTCCCTGCTTCTCCTTGTGACCAGCCTGGAACATATCCCTATCCCTCTGTTTGACATCACCTCACCTCGATACCGATCTTAAGGATTCCCTCAGTTTTTGAGGGCCTATCCCTAAGATTGTCCTCGCTTTTTGCTCGCCCATCTTAGGGATAGGGATACGTTCGAGGCTGGTTACCTTGGGCGTTCCCCGAGTTCCCCCTCTCCCTGTAGTTCCTGCTCTCGTGCGCTCCTCGGGTGGGCTTCCGTCGGCGCCTCCAGGGCGGGCGACCCCCCCCCCCCGGCATCGGCGGCACGCGCCTTGCAGCGCGCGCGGCGCCCGCACCTGAAGACGGCCCGCGGTGCCCACGTGGGCAGGGCAAGGACCAGGGACCAGGCTTACGTCGGGCCCATATGCCTCGACAGGATATATTATATATATCTATATATATATATATATATATATATATTCAAAAATGGTCAGTAAATAATGCGCGGACGGTGGTTGGAGTATGTTTCTGATTATTTTGGAGCATGTTTCGAATCTGTTCCATTTCTTGCGCCCCAAATCCAACTGGAAGACCAGGCCCGCGGACTGGCCTCGACCTGCCCCCTACCCCACCTTTACGTCCTCGGACCCGGTCGTGGCCACCAGGGGCCTCCCGGAGGCCCAGGAAGCTTCGCTGACTTCCGAAAGCCTCCTCCGGCGCGTCTCTGCCTGCACACCCTGGTTCGGGCTCGATGGCTACCATATTCTGCTTGGAGTTGCTGCTTGGAGGTTCCGCCCCCACGTCCCTGGCCCTCGGCCAGCGCTGTGACCAGGGCACCCGAGCCCCGAAGCAGCCACCGGGGTCGAAACAAAGCTCGCTGCGGCAGTATCAGAGTCAGGAGAGGAAAAAACACACAGACACAATTAATCCTCGATTCCCAGAAAATATGAGAAAATATGGGAAGTGGGGGGGAAGACAGGAACCCAGAAAATATGTGAAAATATGGGGGATCGTTTTATTTGTGTGTATCTATTTGTGTGTCCTGGGGCCCCTTAGGAACAGAGGAGTGCGAGCCGAGACAACGGCAGTTGGCCTTCCGGGGCCGTCTCGTCGCCGCGGTTGGACGCAGCCGTGAAATTGGATGCGTTTGGGCCCCGGGGGAGAGCGTTAACGAACACTCTCAGAGCGTTCTTTAACGCTCTGAGAAGGCCGCGGCGCCCGAGACATCCTCCAGAGCCGCCAGATCTCCGAGATTCCCGATTCATCCTGACCCGATCCTCGTCCTGGCTTCGTGTGACCTTCGCCCAGGCCTCCGAAAGTTCGTATCACGCGGCGGGTCTCGCGGATTTGGGGGACCGTGTTCATGTATGCAAGTGCCCCTGGGCCAAGGTGCCCCCAGGACTTTCGGGGTAGCCCAAACGGCCTCCAGAGCACCCCATCACGAAGCCCAGGGGGCCCCAGGGGCTCCAGCATGGAGCGAAAAGCTGGGGGCACCCTGGGCCAGGGGCACTTCCGGCCGCACCCGAGGTGGGCGCGCACGCCCTTCGTGGGCGCCCTTCGTGGGCTCCTTCGCCGGCCCCTTCTCCCCCCCCGCGCGCAGGCGGGCCCTGCGCACAGCCCGCGGCCGTCGCCCGGCCCGGGCCGCGGCGCGGCGGCCGCGTGGGTGCACGCCGGCGGGGCCGCCTGGCGGCCGAGGCGTCGCCCAACCCCGCGGGCTCTTTCGGTGTGCACGTGCATAAGTCGATTGCGTGTTGTTCGTCTGTCTCGGTGCACACTACAGCTGCTTGTTGCGCAAGCCCAGGGTATGTGTCGGCAGTCTGCATGAGTGCATGCATGCATGCATGCGCGCATACTACATGCACATGTATACAAATATGCACACAGCATAGATGGTATAACCATAGGGGATATGTACATAAGCATACAGCCATACACATAAACATGCATACACACATACATAGTTACACACCTGCATGCAGACATACATACCTGCATACATACATACACACAACCAAACAAGCATGCACACATACAAATATACCAACACACGTGTAACCACAAACATATAACCATACAATCATACATATACACATACATACATACGTACATACATACATACATGCATGCATGCATGCATACATACATACACATACATACATACATACGTACGTACGTACGTACGTACGTGCGTGCATGCATGCATGCATGCATGCATGCATGCATGCACGTATACGTGCATGTATACGTACATCCGTACACACATACATATGTACACTACACACGTATGCATATGTATTCACACAACACGGTGCCGGCGCTCCAGAAGCCCAAAACCAGGTGCCCCAAACTCCCATGGGCGGACCGGGGCCCCATGGAACCCTCCCAGCCGGTCCCCAGACGGCCCCAGAGGGCCCCACGGCGGCCCTGGAGCCCGCCCAGACGGCCCCAGACGACCTCCAGGCCGCCCGGGAAAATACGAGGTGGCCCCAGGACGGCTCCATGAGGCTCCCGGGAGGGTCCCAAGGGGCCCCCAGGACGCGACAATCGTTCGTAAACCTTGGGGGAAATCAGCACTTTCCAAAGTCTCGGCTCCTCGCTTCCGAGGGGCTTCCGAGGCCTCAGGAGGGTGCGACATCGGCCGTCGAGGAGCCCCAGGAACGCCCAAGACGGACGACGGGAGTCCCCGAGGCCCTTCAAGACGGTTCCGAGACGGCCGAGGATGGCCTCGGGACGACCCTCGAGACCGCCAAGACGGCTCCCTAAGACCTCCAGACGGCCATAGAAGGCTCCCAAGAGGCCGCAAAAAGCATCAAAGTTTTTCAGGACACGAACATCGTTGCCATAGTTTTGTGACGATGATGATGATGATGATGATGATGATGATGATGATGATGATGATGATGATGATGATGATGGTGATGGTGATGGTGATGATGATGATGGTGGTGATGATGATGATGATGTTCATGATGAGCATGCTGCTGATGGGGGCGATGATGAATATGCCTATCATTGTCAGGATAATGATGACGATGATGACCATGATGCTGATGATGATGCGGATGATGAGGAAGATTATGAGGATGATGATGATGATGACGATGATGACGATGATGGTGATGATGATGATGATGATGAGTACGATTGTGATGGTGATGCTGATGATGATGCTGATGATGATGATGATGGTTATGATGGTGACGATGTCGACGATTATCATGGTCACGACGATTGGGATGATGATGATGATGATGGTGGTGGTGGTGGTGATGATGTTGCTGATGATGGTGATCGTGAGGGTGATGATGGTGTTGATGGTGGTGGTGGTGATGTTGATGATGCTGCTGATGATGATCATCATCACCATCACCATCATTATCATCATCATCATCATCATCATCATCATCATCATCATCTTCGCCATCATTACGACACTCCTCGAAACGCCGCGAATCGGGACTCCAAGAGACCCTAAGAGACACGATATTCGCACAGGCACACAGGAAGCTTCAACAAGCCTCCCGGAGGCCCGTTCCGAGCCCCCCACACCTCGACAATGCTTTCCGAGGCGCGCATCCGACCTGATGCTGGACTCCTTTCCTCCCGACGGCCCGCCAACCCCCTCACACGTAGCAGGTCTGAGGTTTCTGGAGACCGATCCGGGAACATCTGGTCGATTGCACGACGACGACGCTAACCATGATGTTTATGATGACGATCTTAAGGCTCATGGTTGCCATGGCGATGATGATGATGATGATGATGATGATGATGATGATGATGATGATGGTGATGGTGATGATGATGACGATGATGACGGTAGTGGTGATGATGATGATGATGATGATGATGATGATGATGATGATGGTAATGATGATGATGATGATGATGATGATGATGATGATGATGATGATGATGATGAAGCTCATGATGGTGATGATGATGTTCATGATGGTGATGATGATGACCATGCTGGTAGTGAGGATGATGCTGACGACGGTGATGTTGATGTTGATGCTGATGATGATGCTGATGATGATGCTGATGCCGACGATGCTGCTGCTGCTGATGATGATGATGATGATGATGATGATGATGATGATGATAATGAGAAGCAGGAGGCGGCTTACGATGATGCTGCTGTTGATGATGGTAATGATGATGCTGATGGTTATCATGGTTTTGACGATTACGGTTATGCTTCTGATGATGATGGTTATGATGCTGAGTATGATGATGATCGTGGTGTTGCTGAGGATGCTGGTGATGACGATGATGGTGATGATGATGATTGTGGTGGTGATGATAGTCTCGATGATGATGATGATGATGATGATGATGGTTAAGATGATAGTGATGATGATGGTGGTGGTGACTATAATGATGAGGACGCTGATGATGCTGATGATGATGATGATGATGCCAGCGAGGGCTTTCAGGGTTGGAGGCCAGTGCCAGCCTGAACTCGGCTGGTGTCGAACCAAGTCAACTGTCAGGAACCCATTATCTGTCGTTGGATCTCACTACTAGCCGCTTGAGGCCACCTCGGTTTTCATTGAAACGACGCTTACCGCTTTCGCTTGCCAGGGCACTCTCCCGGTCCTCCGTTTCTGCTCCCCGTTTTGATCCTGCTCACGTACAGGTGGGGTTCCTGTGCAGCGCTTCCTGTACGTCCGAGTCTACACTGACGAAGCGAGCGAACCTTCGGGCGAGTGCACAGTGGAAAAGAGAAGACGCTACCCCCGCTCAAGGTGGAAAGCTCCACGCGGTGCCAGAAACCAGCGCGCAGGTCGCCGAGGCACGAGCCTGCCGTAGCCGGGCCCGGCCTCCCAGTTGGCCCCTCTTCTGCCGTTCTTGGGCCTCGCGGGGAGAGGCGGGAGAGGCCTTGCGCGAACCCAGGTCGTTCGGCAGCCCCCACGCGGCCCTGCACAGCATGCTCCAGGAGCGCCTCCGCGAGCCGGGAGGGCGGAAGAACGGCGGGAGAGAGAGAGAGAGAGAGAGAGATAGAGAGAGTGAGAGATAAACAAAAAAAAAACAGAGATTCGCCGAGGAGTCGCAAACATGGATTGTGGCGAGTGGATCAGTGGCGGGTCCCGTTGCCGCACAGCATCGGCGCGCTCCGTTGTCAGATTGGGCGGGGTGGGCTTCGTGTTTCGGGGGATTAACTCCCCCTATCCGCGGGGTTGGCGCCCACGCGCCCGATCCAAGGATCTTATTCATTGTTCACTTCTGATCCTTCGAGAGCTGGGGGGCCAAGATCCTCTCATTCCTAATTGTTCCATCCTGGGCCTCTTCCTGGCCACCAGGGGGCCAGGAAGCGAGCGCAATTAGTGATGAGCACGATTAGAGATGAACGACGTGTAACTCTTCACACGCCTCGCGTATCCCCACCAGCCCTTCCAGAAAGCTTGCCCACGAGAGGCGACGGGAGAACTTCTGATCCTTCGAGAGCTGGGGGGCCAAGATCCTCTCATTCCTAATTGTTCCATCCTGGGCCTCTTCCTGGCCACCAGGGGGCCAGGAAGCGAGCGCAATTAGTGATGAGCACGATTAGAGATGAACGACGTGTAACTCTTCACACGCCTCGCGTATCCCCACCAGCCCTTCCAGAAAGCTTGCCCACGAGAGGCGACGGGAGAAGCGGGAGAGGGGAGGAAGCGACATAGAGTGAAACAAAGCGGGCAACCAGGAAGACCAGGGAGATCTTTGGGAGCACGGGGGTGGCCTTGAGTGGCATCTTCGGGCCATCCCTGGGGCTCGCGGAGAGGCGAGGGGAGGAGGAGGAGGAGGAGGAGGAGGAGGAGGCGGAGGAGGAGCAGGAGGCAAACCGCCTCTTGTGGCCCTTGTGGGACGCTCTTGGGGCGCTCGTGGGCGCTCTTGTGGCCCTCTTGGGGCCCTCAGGGGGCCTTTTAGAAGCCCTGGAGGGCCTCTTGAAAGGGTGGGCCCTAGCTTTTAGCCCCCCCCCCCCCCCTTCTGGTGCCCATCGAACTCGCATTTTGGGGCGCTCTTGGGGCGCGATTGGGCCGATCTTGGGCGCTCTTGGGGCCACCTGGGGCCACTTGGGGGGGCCTATTGGACCCCTCTTGGGGCTCTCTTGCTCTTGAGCCATCTTGGGGTAATCTTGAGGCCTCGGAAGCGCATCGGAAGCGAACAAGGCGAGAGGGCACAACACATTGTTTTTTCTCTCGGTTGTTGAAGGATTCTGGCCTGTTGGAGGGTTCCTCATTGGGCTCCGGGAGAACTTGGAATGGTCTTGTGGCCCTCGTCGGGCCTCTTGGAGGCCCTCCCCGAAGGGACGCGGTTTCTGGAAGAGGAATCACAGATATCGTCAGACCACCTTAGCCCAGAAGGCTGGTGGGATCCATGTCAGCGTGCTTCCGCGAGCGATAGAGAGAGAGAGAGAGAGAGTGGGTGGGGGAGCGACAGCGAGAGACGTAACAGTTCGAACCGCGGGTCCGCGCGGGCGCTGGGCGCCCAGGCGCACAGCGCAGCACTCATGGCTGAGTGCAGCAACGACTACTGCAGAGCCGACTGCGCGCTCAGACCCTGGCGCACAATGGAGGTGCAACGGAGAAGACGACACGGCACGCGGTACGTGAGCCTCGCTCGGTCCAGAGCGCCGTGTAGGCAGCGGCGCGCATGTGGGAGGCGACACTATTAGCGTGACGCCGCTGCGCGAGGCTCCCCGCATGATGTCCCAAGCGGGGCCTGGAAGGTTTCTCCGAAGGGCTTAGGCGACCCGTCCTCCTCTTCCTCCTTCTCTCCTCCTCCTCCTTCTCTTTCTCCTCCTCCTCTTCCTCCTCCTCCCTCCTCGGGTCGAACTCTGCAGCGGTGAGTCCCATAAGCGGGGCCGCCGAAACCGGGGCGCGTCGCGCGCGCCGCCGCGGCCGGGCGCCCGCGGGCGCGGCCGGGCCGCGGGGCGCTCACGGCGCGGGCGGGCCCCCCGCAAGCGGGCAGCATGGGGATGGCTGGCCAGCTCCCCCGCCGCGTTCTGTCGGCCGGACAACACCCCAGCCGGAAACTCCCGACCACCGACAGAACGGACAGGGGCCAGGCCGCCACCAAACCCACACCACCCACCCCAGGGGCCCGCCACGACACGACAGACGACGACAGCGACGGCGACGACAAAAACGGGGAAGACGGACCCCCCAGCCACGACTCCCACGGGGGACACCTGGCTGGGTAGCCAGGCTCCCGTGGGAGGCTGCGTGGCGTGAGCGGGCGTGAGCCGTGGCTGACAGCTCGACGGCCGAACCGAACCGAGCCGAGGTGAATGTCGTGCGGATTTGTGTTGGCCAGGGCTGGACACAAAAAACCGCCCGCGTGAGATTCGCTTCGTTTTTCGCTTGCCGCTTCGGGGTTTAACACTGGCAGGAGGCCGCGCGGAAGTCCGCTGCGGCACGTCTGCAGGGTCGGTGCAGTGAGGAGTGCCCCCGCTGCGCAGTGGCAGCCCCAGGGCGGGGCGCACGACCAGCTGGGGGCGCGTGGTCTGGCGGCACGGGGCTGGTGGCGCAAGGCACACGGGGCCCCTTCGGCGGACACTTTGCCGCGGACCACAGCGGCGCCTGGCGTTTGGCATCGCTCGGACGTGTGCGTTGTTCCCTCGGCGAGGACCATCGAGGAGTATCCTTGATCATTTGGCGAAACAGCCACGCACGAAACCGAACAAAAACACAGGGAATGGACGTCCGAGCGATGGCAAGGGTGGCACCTGGGGGACAAAGAGCAGGATGGGAAAAATTACCCGCAGGAACAAAGAGTCGTCGATCCCCAGGAAGAGGTGGGGAACTGTGGGAAGCGGGGGGGGACGACGGCAATCAAGCAACAGGCGAGGCGATGGGGAATCCTGGGATCTGCGCGCGTTTCTCTGTGTGTGTCCCTGGGCCCCTTTCCAAAAGAGGGTGCAGGCCGGCGGGCCCGAGGGCGGCGGCAGTCGGGCGGCACGGCCAGAGGCCGCGTCGACGGCAGAAGCCGCGCCGACGAAGAAGCCGTGAGGCACGCACAGCGGCCCTCCCCCTCGCCCGGCAGGGCCGCAGCACCGAGGGGGGGGGGGGGGCAAGGGCCTGCCGCCACGGAGGAGGGAGAAGGGAGAATCCTGAGACCCTGGCGTTGCCGTTTTTTCTCAGCGGGCGTTTTCGCTCCGCTTCGGGCCTGGGGACCCTCACAGATCGATCCAGCTCGAAAGACGCGGAAAGATCGGGTCCGGGGCTCCGGTCGCGATTTTTTGGTGATGCTGCAGCTGTTTGACAGCACGTCGGATCTCGGGGAGGGAGAAGGGAAGGAGGGGACTCGGCTGCCCGCATGTGGTCGGGGTCGGGGCACTGAGCGTCGGCGACTGGTGGGTGGCGCGAGCGGCTGCTCGGGGAGGGCGTGGCCTGGCTGGTGTCCATGGAGGACACGCCAGGTCACGCCAGGATACGCCGTCCCCCCCCACCCTTGCAACGCGGGCCGGAGGTTGATCTAGTGCTTGTGTGGGTTGGGAAAGGCCCGTTAGATGCCCACGGAGGGATCGCCGGGGGATATATGCATATATATATATATATATATATATATATATATATGTATATGTATAGATATACAGCTGAGAGAGAGAGAGAGGACAACAGCAAACATGGAGAGACATAAGAACTAAAGAGTTAGAGTTCGAGTTAGAGTTAGAGTTTGAGTTATATATACATAGATATAGAGAGAGAGGGAGAGAGGGAGAGAGAGAGAGAGAAGAGGGGGAAAACAATAGTGAGAGTTAGACCTCAGCTTGCCAGGCTGAGCGAACCAGCGGGCCCGCCATCTCCCAACGTTCTGCTCCTCCTTCCTCCCTCCTCCCCCCTCCTCCTCCTCCTCCCCTCCTCCCTCCTCCATTCCCTCCCATCCTCTCCCTTTTAGACTCGGCATCACCCTCATCTCCTTCCCTCCTTCCCCCCTCCTCCTCCTCCTCCTCCTCCTCCTCCTCGTCGTCCTCCTCCTCCTCCTCCTCCTCCTCCTCCTCTTCCTCCTCCTCCCTCCTCCCTAGAGATCTCTGGGCCATCTCGAACTTCTTACGGAGGACGAGCCTGGCCCCCAGGGAGCGTTTCTTTCTTCTTTCCTCCCTGGCGAAGCGAAGGCGCTCGTGCACGGTCCCGCCTCTGACGACCTGGCAGCGGAAGCGCTGCGCGGGCCGCACCGCGGTCTGAGCGGCGCAGCTTCCGAGGAGCGCGGCGAAGATGAAGCGTGCGCCGGGCTGGCACAGCACTGCCCACTTTCAAACGCACACGCACACACACATAGCAGGGCTGGACCAAAACGGTGTTTTTGGTGATTTTGTGGGCCGCTTTCGTTTCGACTTCGTTTTGCGGTAAAGGCGGGTCCGAGACAAGAGCGAGTGAAAACGAAAACGAATACGAAAAACACCGTTTAGGTTCAGCCCTGACACACACACGCACACACACACACACGCACACACGCACACACACACACACACACACACACACACACACACACACACACACACACACACACACACACACACACACACACACACACACACACACACTGCGCGGCGCCTGGGCGAGGTCAGCGCGTCGCCCGCTCCCAGCGCGGCCCCGCGGCCCATGCCCCCTGTCGTGCGAGATCGGCGCACGAGCTGTGCGCCGCGCCCGCGCGCGAGCGCCGCCGCTTCCGAGCGCCACGCGCACGGGGCTCTTGGGCGGCGAGGGCGACACAAATCGCCGGGTCGCGCGGGGCCCCGGGCGCTGGCGAGTGATGCGCACGCGCACGCGCCGAGGCGGGAGCGCCTGACGGAGGCGTGATCCTCCTCCTCCTCCTCCTCCTCCTCCTCCTCCTCCTTCCTCCTCCCTCCTCCTCCTCCTCCTCCTCCTCCTCCTACAGGGGGAGTGTTCCAAAATAGTTAGAACAGAGTGCGGGGGCGATGTTTGGACTCGTTGTGGCTCGTTAGGGGCAGCGCC